ACCCATATGCGCAGCAAAAAGACGTTTTTAGACCAAATATTACAGATTTGAACAAATACACACAAAAACATCAAAATTAGCACGGAAACAGTACTATATAACATTTTAGACACATTCTAGACAGTTTATTAGCTAAAAAAAGTTAATTTTGGGGTAAGTTACTCTTTAACTAGTTTCCCCTCTCCAACACACCTCATTCAGCGAATTAATTCTCTTTTCAAGTTCAAGTTAATCACCCATTTATTCAAACTAGGTGTGTCACAGCAGAGCAACAAGTAAAAGATGCAGGATAGCGACACTTGAGAACCAGGATTGGACTCCCCTGAGCTTAAGGCTGGTTTAAACTGAGCCTGTTGATATCTGCCATTTATAATACCTGTACGGACTTCCATTACCAAGTAGGAAAAAGCTATTTATTTCCTGAAATGCATCATATGTTTGACTCATTATCACTTGTTTTGATGAATCAAAAAGAAAAAAATAAGTAGGTCCTCTGGACCTCTGAGTAAATTCAAAGCAACATGCTCATGTTCTTTGGCTAAAAAACTGGTAAATTGCTTTGAATTTACTCAACTCAGTTAAGTGGAACCAGGTAACATAACATGGTTAAGTAAATCCAACATTTCATTTTTACAGTGTATATTGCAATTAAAACATCATCTTTTGTCAATCTTCAATCAGTTCTGTTCATCCCAAGTGTATAAAATAAATATATTTAATATACTGTAATACTGTGGTTGAAACAACTGTACGTTCCTCCACTGAATAGAAGTTGATTTGCTGTTTACCTTTTCTTGGGTTAACCTTGTCCTGTATGACTGAGAATAAACACCAGCACATGTCCATAATATAAATTATTGATTGTTTATCAATAAACCTTTTGGTAACTTGATGCCGTACCTTGTTTAGCTTCAGCACACTGAAAAAAGGAGCTAAAAAAATAAAAACAAAGGCATTCCGGTAAACTTCTACGTGTCAACACCAAACAAATTACCTCAGGAACCTTTACGAAGCATGCAGTTCAAAGCCAAACATAAACTGAGTTTTGTGTATGTGTGTGTTTGTGGATCACTGTATTTTTCCATGTAGGTGCACCAGCACCAGAAGTTTTGGAAACAGACAGRTCCTGCAGTTTCAGGAGTAAGGCTTTGTCAGTTTTCTGTCTCTTCTCTGAGTATCGAAGCCAACATGGGTTACAGGACGGTAGTGATGTACACTGAGATCGGCTGCTTTGTGGTGTGTGTAGCCGGATGGATCCTTGTTTGTTCCACAATGCCGACCGAGATCTGGACTTGGTCTGAAGTTGGCACTTTAGTCCTGACAACGGCAAACTACTTCTCCAACCTGTGGAAGGACTGCATTTCTGATTCCACGGGGGTATCGGACTGCAAAGGGATCCCATCGTTGCTTGCACTGAACTGTAAGTAAACAATAGAATATAATGAAACACTTTAAAGATAAAACTGCAATGTGTGTGTGTTTCTGCCTTCTAACAGGGGACATCCACATGTGCCGGGCTCTCATCATTACCTGCATTATCCTGGCTTTCTTTGGGTCGATTCTGATATTAGTGGGAATGAAATGCACTAAGATCGGTGGCTCTGAGATTACTAAAGCAAAAGTGACCTTTGCTGCAGGGATGATCTACCTAATAGGAGGTAAAATCTGAGATTTATTTAAAAGAGGTTGTGTTGATCTCAACTGGTTGTTTAATCCCTAAACAAAAGTGTGTGTATCATTTCAGGGATGTGCTCCATGGTTGCTTTTTCTTATTATGGGAACAAAATTAGAGCAGAGTTTCAAGACCCTACCTACGTAGAAAAGAAGTATGTAATGTGCTTAAAATAATAAATACAGCGTGTAAAATAAGTATTGAACACGTCAACATTTTTCTCAGTAAATATATTACTAGAGGTGCTAATGACATGAAATTTTCACCAGATGTCGGTAACAACCCAAGTGATGCATACATACAAAGAAATAAAACAGTAAATGTCCAGAAATTAGGTTATTTGTAATAATGTGGAATGGCACCGGGA